CGACCAAAAAGGTTAATTAAGCTGATTAAACTTTTGATTAAATATGAGATTACAAATACAGCTATTTGAAATGCATCATTATTTATGTACATAACCATTATATGTAATGAGGTAATGATATGCTGTAGTAAACAGCGAGCATGTCATGTTGTTAAGTCAAAGGACTGTCTATCCCAGACGACCTCAGTACATCAGTATGAATACACGATTCATTCTCCTCTTCTCTGCTGCCAGTTGGCCCTCTCTCCAGGGCCCCTCACTATTCATGCCAATCGACAGTATGATGAAGCCACATGGGGCCAAAGTGCTGACTTCCCCTGACATCCTCCCTCACTCGCAACCTTTGACCCATTACAAAAGAGGGTGTCTCCCAGAACAGAGATTTCCCTGCTGTTTGACAGCTGTATGGGACAAAAAGCCGCCTGGCCCTGTTGACACGGGCATTAAGGGGCACAATGAGGAGACAGACTGGGAGGCCACCCCCCTGGAAAAGAACACTTCCTGTCACTGGATGGATGTATAGAAAAATTACTATCTGTCTTACCTGAATGGTCATCTTATCATGCTGAAACGTTCAGCATTGACTAGTTGTTTCATCTCCCCTTTCCATATTGCAAATGACACATATGGACCACTGTACAATTATGACTGCTTCTTTGATTGGAGCTACTTGGAGAGACAGAATTATTCTTTGTGATTAGTGATTCCTCCTCAAACCAGTTCTACAACATGTTGTTATTTAATGTTTGTTATTATGTGCTGGACGTTGTGTGCAGAGCCTTTCATAAACTATGGTCTATGGTTAAGACTGAAGTTAGAAAACTTTGTGCTCATCCAACCCATCCAACTCATATTTCATCATTATTTTATATTGATATTTATATATTGTTATTTAATTGTACATATTATTTATTATTATTCAAATTTAATTTATAATATGACTGCTAATTCCACAAACAACCGTCAGTCTGTGCACATATCGTGTGAACTGTAAAACTTATTGGCTTCACACTTAGCATGACTGTTGTAAAAGAAAGTGCAGCACCGATTTTGGCACAGCATAATAAAGCTGTATATACTTTATTGCACATACTATATATATATTTAAGTTGTACATACAGTACTGTACAGGACAAGGCTGAATACTGTAATTACCAGTCAATACATTTTTTTCACTGCAGCCAATTTGACATGAAATAGTAGACACAGGTGTTTTGCTGTCTATGGATACACTGCAATGGTTCTTCTACAGTAATTCAATTGCAGTAATATACTGGAATGTTAAAAATGCCAAATAGCCTGCAACTGGCTGCCACAAAGCTACTGGACAATTCACAGTAACACTCGTGCAAACAAATTTAATCTGTGATGAGGGGTGCTACATTTGTTTTGTAAAATAAACATTACATTATAACCATCACTTTACTTTCATACAGCAAATTCTTAAGTCTATCTTAAGATGAAAATGTTGATACTTAATTTCACCCAACCATTTAAGATTCCTTTTTATATTTATATTTATTATATCATTTATTTTTATATTCTTCAGAACCGCTATACATGCATTATATCATCAAACATTAGAGATCTAATGTAAACATGATTTTTATGTTATACTATATGTTTAGATGAGGCATCTTTTTGCCGTAGGATGTCAGACACATACAGTAGATATGCAGGGATGCTTGATATAGCAACACACTTCCTATTGCGGCACCATTAACAGAGACCACTTGATTTGTTTCAAGCTGCACAGTGTTCACATAATATTTCACAGTTGCAGTATTTACAGGATATCTCTTTGTGGTAATCATCTATCAGCTTTTGAATGCAAAAGCACAAAGAACTACAGCAGAGAAAAAACTCCACTGATGAACAAGAGCAACATGAACAAAGAGGAGAATCATTCACAGAATTAATGTATGGTCGTGTTAACTTGGTTTTCTTCTGTGGGCAACAGTTTCCCAACATGCAGGCTATATAATTGAAATGGAACAAATTCAACTCAACTGTGACTGTAAAGAGAATGACACTTTGGAAAAATGCAACCAATACATCCCAACCCCTGAAATCAGCCCTCTCTTCAAAGCTAGGCCCCCGAATTACATGAACGCACACTGCCTGACAACTGCTAGAAGACGACTTTTGACTATCGTCTCGACTCCAGTGATATACTGTATGTCTCTCGGGCTGAAGACTTGGACCATGTACAGTGAGAGCACGGGCAGGTTAGGTTACTGACAGACAGGTACACCAGCACATCAAATTGATTGGTCGTGTTCATTACAGTCCTGAGTGGGACAAAAGCACTGGCTTTTTGCAAGGTAATGCAATATGCATTGTGAGGTAAAACTGAAGAATCGTTAATGCAAAACTTATTGTGAGGGAATGCTCACGAGATAGAGAGAGTGGGTGTGGGAGAACTGCTGAGAAAGTCCGGACCCATCTGGAGATTCTCAGTAGGACAATAGTCTAAAAACGACTCAAGGTTGTTTTTTCACATATAAACAATGCAGCAGGAGATCCCCTGCTCGGATGCGTTCACAACAACACAACAATCTCTAGAGCGTTCAGGCGAGAGGTGCGTAGCATGCAGGGGCATTAAATCTGCTGATCATGTGTTTGTGTTTCCAGCACATTGACACCAGCATTATCACCAAATTCCCTCTTGATATGTTTCTATGTGTCTTTTACATGTATAGCTCCGCTTTTACATTTTGACATATTTGTAATCTTTGTTTATTTCATTTTGTCCACTTGCTTGCGCTGGATCTCCTGCTGTGTTCTCACATCGTGTCATTCGGACGTTCTGTGGACTTTATATGTAATGGGTGTGGTTTGGACCCAATAGCAGCACAAAGACAGGCGGGTATCGTTGGTAACAAACTTTATTGTTAGAGCCAGAGAACTGCAGGATGCCACAGAGGAGACGAGAGTGACACTCTCTATGCAGAGCAGAATCAGGTAATCACCGGATAGCCATGGGAGCAGACAGGCAGAATCCTGAAAGGGACAGGCGAGGATCGTGGTCAGGGATGGAAGGCTGAGTTGATTACCAGGAGATCGGTCAGGCAGGATGGTCAGGGATAAGCAGGGTCGAAACCGGGAGATCAGGCAGAGAAACGCTGGAGAGTCTGGTGCAAGCATCGAGAACAATGTGGCAATGAGTGAGAGTGGAGCTGGGGCTTGAATGCAGCCAGAGCAGAGAGCGCAGGTGAGTGGGATTGGTTTGATGAGAGGGGTGTGTCTGATTGGCAGATTGAAGCAGGCAGGTGCAGAGTGGTGAGGCAGAGATGAACTGTGACATTATACGAGAGTGCTGGCCGGATAAATTCCGCAGAAAGTCCGGAGGCTCTCACTATGAAATTTGCGTTGTCACATACAACCCCTAGAGCAGGGGTCACTAACACGGTGCCCGCGGGCACCAGGTAGCCCCCAAGGACCACATGAATAGCCCGCAGGCCTGTTCTAAAAATAACACAACTCACCAGTGAGCTGCGTCTAAAATTTGATATGCGTTTCTAATTAAATGTAATTATTTATATTTTATACTGTCAAACTTTTATTCTCATATTTAAGTTGACTATTGACTATGATTTGTTGAAAGGGTTTGTCAGTGGCTAGTGAAAATGGGACATTTGTTGTAGAAGTGATCATCTGAAAATTCAAACAATTGCTGAGACTAACAGAAATAAAGTGAATATTGATATTGTTTCTGTTTCTGATTGTTGATAATTATTGTGAGAAATAATTAACGTGATCAGTGTCTTCACATAGATGAGTATCATTTATCAWTAATAATAATATATAACTAAAGGCAAACTGAGCAAATTTGTTATTTCAGGAGAGTGTATCAAACTGGTAGCCCTTGGTGTGACTCTGTACCCATGAAGTAGCTCTCAGTTTCAAAAAGCTTGGTGACCCCTGGTATAGAGGATCTCTGGAACTCAGTGCATGTCTGAATGTATCTCATGATTCAGATGAAATGAGTTGGAATTATAGTTAATATAAAATACAGTTTACAGTAAACTGTCCCACATGAAAAGCCATTCGTAAATATGTTTGGTCTACCTGTCCAGTGATCACACTCATAAAAACGTATACTGGCTTCTATTGCATGAGCTGACTGTAGAGCTGCATTGAATTGAATAGAGTTTGAGAGTTGATACTTTCACAATCTGCTTTTGTCCCATTTAACCGGGGCCAGCTCTGCGTTCTGCGCATGTGCGGTGAGGTTCCGCCACACTCCAAACCTCCACACCTCCAAACCGGGACAGAGAGAGAGAGAGGGAGAGAGAGAGAGAGAGAGAGGGAGAGGTACCAGGATCCATGGAGCATGTCACAGCGCTGGTGTTTTCTCTGTCTTCTTCTTGTCCACGATGCACTTTAGGATTTCAATAAGATGCGTGTGTGTTTCCAGATAGTAACTTTCCTCTGCGCCTTCAACTTCCAGCCGCTCAGAGCTCAGGGTAAGTGTGTTCATCTTCCTCACACACACACACACACACACACACACAGCTGTAAGTCATATGTCCACGGTGCTGTCTGTGTGCATTCTGCTCAGCCGAACCCATAATAAAATAAAACAGCGTATACATGGAGGCAGCCGCAGGTAAGTTCGTCGTTGCAGGACGAACTTGTTGATCCAGTGACAGCTCGCATCCTGCTGGGGCCGATAGACTTCACTCTGGTGTCACGCAAAACTCCGTTCACGAATCCTAACAATGTGAGGGAATCGCCTTTTTTTGGCGGACTCGAACGCATCGGAGACATTTTTGCGAAGACGTCCTCTGAAACGTCAAAGTTCGGGGACGTCAGCGCCGTGCCAGTTTGCGCTGTTTTCAATAAAAACCCCGCACGGGAGAAGTTGTTCCGGGCGCTAGCTGCCGCCCACCGCGGAGCGTGTATGTGCGGACATGGCTGTGAGAATAACGGGAGAGCAGCTGTGAAAAGTTTCACCTTCACTCGTTAACTTCTCATCGTTGACATCCACAACGGCCATGTCGTGCCCTGTAACTTTTACCCCGGAAAGCCAAGTGGGCGACATTGAGGAGTTAATCCGTGGTGGAGATGAAGGTTAGCATGACGCTCAGTATTATGGGGGGGGTTAGCATCCTGTTCATCTCTCGGGTGAACCCTTTAAGTTTTGAGGACAAAGCGACAACTGTGGCGTCGTCAACACAAACTTTCCTCTGTGCAGAATGTGCCGCTCGACTGTAATAGTTGTCCAAACTGGATTTAGTTTCTTCCCCGTCAAAAACAAAAATGGGAGAAATAACCGGGAATAAGAAGGAAAGGCTTCCTCCTCTAGTAATGTGGACCGTTATGTGCAATCTGAGCTCTTTCAACCCTCCTCAGCCAAGAGCAAAGTCCCCCTGCTTTTATTTGACTTTTAAAAGATACCTTCCAATACATTAGAAGCTATTCAGATTTTCTTGTAACGTGTATTCACCATAAGTGTCTCATGTTTGACCCTGTTATTCCCCTATCTCTCTATTTCCAGGTTACATCTTTTACAGCCTGTGTTCTGGCAACCGTGACCTGCAGTTTCTTTTTAATTGAACCCAGGTATAAATATGTGGATCGCGTGTAAAGCCGTGCCGGCAGTTTATGATGAAGTCATGTTTGATTAGCCTCGTCCGCTCAGAAAGAAAGGAAACCGAGTAATGAAGCTGCCTGCTGCTTTGAATGGAGTCTGGTGGCCAAAAGAAAGCACAGCATGGAGGCAAAAAGCGTGGGACTGATGAGCGTATTAGCTTTTGAGGGTGCTAATGAATGCAGAGGGACTTGTGAGGGCAGCTAGACAAACACAGAGGTGTGTGTTGGTGCTGTAGAGCAGCTGTCCTTGAATTTGCTTTCACTTGTTAATTGGCTGAGTCAACACGGAGCTGCCACTTTGTACTGTGTTGCTACATTTCTGAACCATTTGGCACAGCGTCGCCTCAGCCAACCTTCTGCTGTTATCGCAATTCCTTTGGCCGGCGTGTATCGCAGCTTCCCCCCCAGTGACTGTTTTTATCTGAGGGGGCTCCATGGGCAGGGTTATAAATTGGTCTAACGTGCTTGTGGGTAGGTCTTTGAAGTTGAGTCCACATGGGTGCAGGATGTGGATTTTCTCTGGCTAAATATCACTTTGTGCAGCTTTTTTTTTCTGGCACATCTGCCCGGGACATGAAAGCAACATAGGTCTTAGATCCTCATTTGTGGAGCACATTGTCTCCCTAAGTTTTGTGTCCATTGTAAAGGTCTCTGAAAACCCTAAAAATGGTTATCAGTGTGATAAACAGCACCATATGGTGAAGTGATCAGGCGGCTTTGCCCTTAAAAAGATATGTTTTCTTCTTTTTTCCTCCCTCAACTTACTCTGTGCAGAAATTCCTTGCATTTTTATCCTCTATCGAGTTTTGCGAAACTTCTCGCCTCTATTTCTTTCATGTTGCGATTTGGTTCTGGAGCTAGCCGTGAGAAAATGCATCTGGAACCAATTTGAGTGCTCAAAGCAGAAGGGGAAGGGAAGGGGAAGGAGGGAAGTGAACGGCAGCCCTTTTCTTTCCATGTCCACTGTGAGGAGGCATGGGCTGGAGTCCCACAAACGTAATTATAGCTCTGTGAACACAAGATTAAAGTGCAGCGTAGAGTTGAATTTCTTGGCCCTTCCTTTGGTATAGTGATTGTTGAATTGACCATGGATGATAATGTTTTTCCAACCAGTTACCCACTGCAAGTGTTTTTTCAAGGATAAATATAAAGAAAGAGAAATACACTCATGGAAATATAAAAGGAATCCCCCCCTTTGGTTGTCATTTTCCTAAATCAGGACGATTCTAAAAATTCTACCCAAAATTATGATATTATAGGTTATTTTAAAAATGTTAAGCAGTAATTAACTTTCTATTCTCAAAAGAAGCCTTACATTGTTTTGCTTTGACTAAGACCACTGCCTTGGCTGTGTTCCCTGCAGACGCTGAGTTCAAACACTCTGCTATCAAAGGCAGCATCAACAGTCTTGTCATAGTTGAGGTTCGCTTGATAGAAAACAGGAAGGCTCTTAAAGTGCATGTTGTGCTGTAGATACTCTGTATAGGCTACATCATATCCAGGTGGGGTTATCATTAAGCACCAGCTGCTACAGTTAATAGTGATACTGGTACAATGTACTGCATGCACCTGCTCGTAACAACATGGATTTCATAAAAGCCAGGTTAGCTGGTGTTTATTCATATTGGTGGTTGGAGGTGTCACACACCACTCCTGTTAGTGACCACACTAACTGTGTTATAGTTCCAGTTGAATGAAGGTGAATTTAGAATGCATCCCAGAGGAAATGCACATACCTAAGCTGACATGGATTTTCTTAAATGAAATGAAATGTTAAACACAGGCAAACTGTTGAACTTGTAACGATTACAAAACACATTGCTGTGTGTGGTTGGTGACATAAAGAAAATCCTGTATCATGGTATACATTAACATCACCACTGGTGGATCATTTACCACCACTGATGTACATTTTTATTATTAGTCAAAAGTTTTAAAATGCCAAAATTGTAATCTAATTTGCATTGCAATTTAAGCAATCCAGGCCCTGAATAACTATGTGAATGATTGCTTAAGCACATAAAAATAAAATTTTGTGAGAAGACAGCAGGCATACAACCCTCTTGATAGTTTCTCCACTTTGCAATGTTACAGCCTTAATAGAAAGTTTTACAGCTCTACACACAATAAAACTGAATATCACACTGAAGCCTTACAGTCCCAAAATATAGAACGTTAGTTGTAGTACTTCAGCAAGTCTTTGCTTCCATACCAGGAACTGCTGAAAAAAAACATTTTTTTCTGAGAAAAGGCATGCAGGACAAGCATTGTACAGGATTAGGATGTTGGGCTTCTCTGGGCCTAGATCACTTCGTGCCACTGCATACAACAACCATACAACTCCATATAAAGATGGACAACGTGCCACCTCCCCAAAAGTGAAGTCAAAAAATCTACATTGCCCCTGTTGGCTGGCATCTTTATTCACAGTCTATGCCAATAACCCGATATGAGCTTGAGAGGAGGTTATGTTACTAGCGTCAGTGGCGTTCCATTACGCATCATTCAGTCAGCAAAATGAAAATATCATCTGCTGTGCATTTTCTCTCCATGACGATCCTCTGACGACCCAGTCCAGTTCTTTTTTTGAGTAAACATCTCATATCCATAATTCATTACATTTAGGCTTGCCTGTCTAACTTCAGGGACGTCCAGGGCGGGTATATGACTCAGTGGGCGTGCTGCAGTGTCTCAATGTGACAGTTGTAGCCAGCCACTGTTGAACTTGACAGCCATGACTAGCAACTGAAAACAATATTTGACTGCAGCTTTAATAAAATAAGCCATGGTTATTTATGAGGTTACTGGTTCTCACTGCAGTGTGAATGCTAAGATGACTAACAAGAAAGAACCTCTGATTTTGTAACTGCTTATTATTACATAAAAACAGCATATATATGTGATTATACTTGGTACCAATGTATCTTGTTCATATATATATATCATACTAAAATATCCCACACAAGACAGAACAAAATGTGAAAAAGTCAAGGGGTGAATATTCTCTTAGTTGTTGTCCTTGTAACTTCATTATATTAGAAATAAATGCAGGGCTATTGCAGGATAATTACATTAACTACTAATTTCCGTTATGGCCCTACATACATACCATATATGGTGTATTTATCACAGGATGTTTTTTCTACTATTAAAAACTTTGACATAAAACTTTTCCCATATGCTTTTCTAGTTGAAATTTAATGAAGCTGTATTTGTTTACAATAACACTTGAAAAACAAACTTTCCATTAAATTTTATTGGACTACAGCTGCATTTTAGTGGGCTTTATTGAACTGTGACTGAGAGAAGGCAGATCCAGACAGAACTACAGAGAATGCAGTCCGTCCGACGGGTTGTTTGGTTTCGGGACATGAAAATCAAAGAGATAAGAAATCAAAAAAAGATGCACTTTTCTAATATTTTCATTGTATCTAAAACACAAATCTGGGAGACATCTGTGTTTTTGCTAATATAAATTATGAAGTTGTAACAGTTTGGGGCAGGTGTTGTTTGTTCTAGTTATTGTGGTGTGTGTGTGATCTGTGGTCAGAGAGGAAACCTCTGTATTGGAACCAGATCGCAGCGAGTGGCTACAATCAGTCTGATATACTGGCAAAGTGACACATTAGTGTGAGGCTGGTGCGCACGTTGTTCCAGCAGAACAAACAGGACTTCCTAAAGTACTGCTGAGTGTCTGTCCCACACTGTTCTACTTAGTGCAGCATACTGGAGTGGAGGCCTCATTGTTCATGTCAGCGTGTCTTTGGCCCCTCTCTTGCTCTTTCATTGCTTTACTCCAACCTCGTACTACACAACCTCTCTCTGTCGCAGCCTTTTAAACCTTTGTTTATCCTGTTACAGTCTATGCTCTTTTCCACTGATGCCCTGCTTCACATTAAAGCTGTCGAAGTGGCTTCGCAGACAGCAGTAAGCAGTTGGGTGTTCAGGTTCTTGATTGGAGGGAAAAAAGTGAGACAAGGGAGGAAGAACGGATAAGCTGCATTTACTCCAAAGGAACTTTCCCCAGGAACTCTGTCCATTTGAAAGGACCAGGGTCTAAATTAGGTTCTACCCCCAAAAACTTTTCTGCTCAGGGGTAATATTTTCCAAAAGTATTACAACCTTTGGGATGGGGCTTGTAGCACTGAGGATAAATGAATGGATGAGTATTCCAGCATTTCTTTTAGGAGGTCAATCTCTATAATGGCTTGTTTACTTTTTGTTCTGTTCCACAGCACCGTCTTATTCAGCTGTTCCTTCACTGGTCTCTCTGAAAGGATGAATGTTCCTGTTTACTTACTGTATAAGACAAATCAGCTCCACTAAGGTTCTGCAGAGGATTGAAACCTTATTACAGCTGCAATTGAAAAATATTACATTTACCCTTCACACATTGGAGTTTAGGGAAAATAATTGTATTTAAAAACCTGCCAAAAACATACATATTATATAAACAAAATATAATTCAATATTTTTCTCCCTAGGAGCCACATCCAAGTGTAATTTAGATTTTGAAAGAGGTTTTCTAAATTTCTCGTTTTACCTCAGGTCTCTAAAGTTCATTTTTCACAGTTGCTTCATAAAGCAAACAAAGATTTATGAAATGAAGGTATAACTTTCCAACAACTAGTCTCTGCAGCCTGTCTGCAATGTTGTAACTAAGACACCCGACTCCAAAACAACAGCCTCTGTACAGCTGCAGGTCTTTCTTCAAATAAATCAGATTATTAACTGAGTTATTATCTTCATTTGATCTGACTTGGCTGAAAATTCTTTAATGGATGTGCTTTTACTGGCTCCAGTCTCCGTCCATCTGTCTGCCTTTCTTTATTGACAACATCTGATCTTAAACTTGGGTGAGGTACTGAGGAACCAGTGTTTGAAAGAGTTGTTCTTGAAAATGATTCAAACACAGCAGCATCTGGACAATTTACGTCAGAAAATGAAAACGTTTTCAAGTATAATTCAAATATGCATTTTTATCAGCCCTCATTTGTAAATCAAATGTGTGAACTAGACATCAGTGTGACAGGTATCCAGTGGATGAATGTAGAAGAAACATTAAACGGTTAAGCGATTAGTATATCCCTTCTCTCAGCCTCCTTCCTTCTCCATCTTGTTCTCTGTTCTGTGACCCTTTACCTCACACTGCATGGCCACATGTATCCCATTATGTAATTTACCATCACACACACACACAATACCGTACATCAGGTCTGTGTCCTCCTTTGGTTCTGCTAATTGAATATGAAATTAGGGAGGCAGGACATGCTCTACAGTGTGTGTGTGTGTGTGTGTGTGTGTGTGTGTTAGACATATCCTCTTTCTCTGATGAGAAGCAGGTTCTGTAGGACTTTTGGGCTGATTTGTGTGATTACACACCTGGATATCATGTGGCTGTACTCATCAACCTGTCTCACACACACACACACATACACACACACACACTCAGTAATCTATGGTTAAACATTAAGTTAATGCTGAGCAGCATCCAGTAAACTGTTATAAATCTCCTGCACATTATGAATGTTTCACATACCCCCATATAGCAACAGCTGTAACCTTTTATTATACAGCAAATGATATATTATAGTTTGTCACTTGGAGCACTGTGGAGACTGTATTGAGGGAACATTATTGTTAACTTTATTTTATTTACCTACATCTTACTCTCTTGCAGGGTAAATCACCATGACACATGACATTAACATTTTGTTACAGTAATAATTGTACTTTACAAAATGACACCACAGAATGGCACACTGGGTACACGTTGCTTAATAGCTAGTAGAAGCTCTTGGCTCAACATTGCCAGTGATTCACTTGCGACTAAAGATGCGTGTCAAAGTATTACTGAATTCAACCCAAGCAGCCTGCTTTTCTATCAACAAACACGTTGATAACACAACTGATTGCAGTAAAAAACGATGACTTAGCCTGTGCGCTGAACCAAAGTTGTCCATTGAAAATAAAATCCTCTATCTCAGGTGTCAGCGCAGTGCTGCTGTGGGTGCACTAGCTCAGCATTCAAAGCCACACAAGCTGCTTATGAAGCCTGCATCCTGCTGCATAAACCACACAAAAAATGAGGTGTGGATATGGAATACTAATCGGTGATTGAATTTGAGTTAATAAGCTGAGTTTGGAAAAATGCACATGGAGGTTCACTGATAAACATTGAGCTGCAGCTTCTCTTCCTTTTTTTTCTTTTTCAGAGTGTTGTTGTCTGTGGTTAAAGTAATAATGGTACGTCATAGTAACTTGATGGCAGGCCTAAATTAAACTTGGCATCAGTTGATATTCACTCTGCATGGCACACTACTGTCACGACTTGTCAAATGTAGTTTGTGAAGGAAGAACCTTTGCACGTTCAGACCACAGTAAAACCACAAATGAACTCAGCTCCGTCTTTTTTCTATCGG